CTTTGGGAAGCTGGGGTGGGCAGATTGCTTGAGCTCAGGAGTTCAAGATCAGACTGGGCAACATAGTGAGACTCCATCTTTACAAAAAACACTTAAAAATTAGCTAGGCATGGTGGCGTGTGCCTATGGTCCCTGAGGTGGAGGATCATTTGAGCCCAGGAGTTTGAGGTTGCACTGAGCTACAACTGTGTCACTGTACCATAACCTAGGTGACAGAGTGAGACTGTACCTCTTAAAAAAAAAAAAGCAGAAGTCAATGAAATAGAAAACAAAGATACCAAAAAAAGAATCAATAAAGCCAGAATAATTGTGGTTAAGCCTTTGAAAAGATTGGCAAAATAAACTTCTAGTGACAGATAGACGGCAAGATTTAAAAAAAAAAAAAAAAAAAAAAGGTATACATATTGTGAGGTGGGTGCGCTAGCAAAAATAAAGTCATCAGAGAAATGAGAGAATGCTATTTGCTCAAACAAAAGAAGAAAAAAGCTATCAACAACTTATGCCAATACAGGTACATGTTTAGATTTTAAAAACCTGCCACAGATTTTACTGTACAACAGTCAGTAGGCACATCAACAGGTAACAATTGCTTGCAGTATCACTTCACACTCGTGAATAAATCTAGTAATACAAAGAGTCCTCATCAACAAAGGTACCTGACACCATTTCAATTACCTCTTTTAAAAGCACAATATAGAAAACCACACAAACATATAGCTTACTGGATTTTTATAAGGCAAGACACCCTTCCGACTACCATCCAAGACGAAAGATAGAACTTCACCTGCTACCTACCCCAGAAGACTCTCTGTGTGCTCCATCTTTATCAGTACTCTTCAAAAGCAACCACTATGTGCCTTTTATATTAATGTCTAGAGGTTCTCTACAATTTCACACATACTATGTATCCCTAGCCACTGCAGCTTAATCCTGCTCCTTTTATTTTACTTTGATTTGCCTTTTAATCTCAAAATCTCAGGCTATTCGACCCACAGTGTCCCAAAGACTACCTTGCTGGCTGCACACACATGGTGCAGCTCAACCAAAATATTCCTCTGGCCTCTGTAACTTCTTGCAAACTGACTACTGGACTAGACACTTGATGACTTAGGTTTACATTTTTGGCAAGACGAAAGTTTTGTTCTTCTGCATCAAGGGGCACAAAACAACTGTTTTTCACTCTTAAAAGCAGAACTCTAATTCTACCACCTTGTTCTCTTATTAGCTGAAATCATTTTAAAAGAAAATGTTTCTCTCATCTACTGCATCAGAGGTTGGCTATTTAGGCTATGCAAGCTATATGGTCCCTTGCAACTATTCAACTCAGGTTGTAATATGAAAGTAGCCATGGACAATACATACATGAACAGGCACGGTTTGGTTCCAACAGATACCAACTCCTGTCCTATGGGGTTACCCAGTAGTACTATTCTTACAGAAAAGACAGCATAAATGTTCAATTATTTTATTTACTCAGTTTTCAAGACAATAAATGAGTATCTACTATCCTCCAGAAGGTGACTAGCTAGGGTTTACTTTTAAAAAACATCATTAGGGCTGGGCACAGTGGCTCAAACCTGTAACCCCACCACTTTGGGAGGCCAAGGTGGGCAGATCATGAGTTCAGGAGATCGAGACCATCCTAGGTAACATGGTGAAACCCCATCTCTACTAAAAATACAAACAATTAGCCAGGCGTGGTGGCACGCATCTGTAGTACCAGCTACTAGGGAGGCTAAGGCAGGAGAATCACTTGAACCTGGGAGGCAGAGGTTGCAGTGAACCGAGATTGTGCCACTGCACTCCAGCCTGGACAACAGAGCGAGACTCAGTCTCAAAAAAAAAAAAATTAGGAAACCGTGAATTTAAATGGGCTTTAATCCACTGTGATTCTTACACCTACTGAAGCTCAAATAATTCCATCTTTGGCCAATGAAAACCTCTCTAAGTTGGCTCCTGCATCCTTTAGACATGATCTACCATTCATCGACAGCTTCTTTGCTATCTGGGATGTTGACACATTCCAGGGTCATCTTAACATTTCCTGCCCCAGACCTGGCAAAAGACATTTCTCAAGAAGCCCAGTTCTTTGTTTATTTTCTTAGAGATGGAATCTCACTTTTTTGCCCAGGCTGGAGTCCAGTGGCAACATCTCGGCTTACTGCCATCTCCTCCTCCCAGGTCCAGGCAATTCTCCTGCCTCGCCTCCTGAGTAGCTGGGATTACAGGCACCCACCACCATGCCTGGCTAAATTTTTGTATTTTCACCATGTTGGCCAGGCTGGTCTCGAACTCCTGACCTTACATGATCTGACTGCTTCAGCCTCCCAAAGTGCTGGGATTACAGGAGTAAGAAACTATGCTGGTGCGAAGCCTAGCTTTCTAAATAGGAAGTATTTCAAGACCACAATCTGGGAATTATGAATACTACTAAGGGTTGATTATTGTTTCTATGCCCTTGCAGTAGACAGAACTAGAAAAAAAATTATTTATATATAAAATACAATGTGAGTTCAAAAAAATTTCCAGTGTAAATTTAGGACAACAGGTCTTTTACTTGTCTGCAGCTCATCCTCCATTAGATTCCCTAAGAAAAGTTCATGGGAATAACAGTCTCTGAATTTCTGCGTATAGACAACAGTTGGTGCCGATCACTTCTAAAGGTAACGTTTGCTGGACGTTACATTCTTGGCTCACATTTTCCTTTCCAGAATATCTTAAATGTGCCAGTCCATTTTCTTCTGGCACAAAAGTGATGCTGTTGAAAAGTCTGATGATAATCTACTTTTCTTTTTCTTCTAAGTCATATGCCCCTTTTGCCTAGATGTCCAAATAACTTTTTTTATTTTTAAAAATTCATTAATTATAGACTACATCTTAGTGTTTATGGTTCTGAGTGAATGTTCTCAGGTATACTGTGCAATTTTTCAGATAACAGTTTCGAATATGTTTTCACTGCAGGACAGTTTTCTTGAAAGTTAACGTTTGCTCTGTTTCTCTCAATATTGTTTATTTGGAGATTACTATTATAAATATAGTGTATTTCTATTGCCTATATTCAGTGTTTGCCACTTTCTCATGAACCCTTTTAGACTTTTATAAAGTTCTTCTCATTTATCTTCAATTTCTCTGAAGACGTTTTATTTATTTTTAAATAACTATGTCCTGTAGACATAAGGTCTTGCTATGTTGCCCTGGCTGATCTTGAACTCCTAGGCTCAAGTAATCCTCCTGCCTCAGCCTCCCAAAGTGTTGGGATTAGAGGCATGAGCCACCACACCCAGCCTCAAAGTTCTTCTAATTCTGTTTTACGTTTTCCTTGGTTTTGTCTTGTATTTAAATAATGTCTTCTAGCTCACTTTGCAATGGTATTTCTTTTCAGCATACCTTTCAGCATGCTTTCACTGAAACAATGCTATTTTGTCTTTTATTCCTTTTTATCTTTTAATTTGGCACAGGACTTGACCTTGATACTTTTCTGTTGTTCATTTTAGGGGAAAGTTTGCTTCAGATAGCTATTCTAACTTCAGAATCAACAACCTTCTTCTGTTGATTTTGTGATGTAAAAAATATAGTGCCTTGCTTTGAGATTTCCTATTGTTTCCCTCTCCTATTTTTATCTGACATTCTTTCCTATCTCTACTGTCTATTTCCCTGCTCCAACTGATTCTACTCCAAGACTCTCATGGAGAGTCCTATCTTTGAAGAAAACATTGGGGCAACACACTGCAGATTCCACAGGGAGTAGACCGCCGCAGCCCTTCTACATTAGCCTCATCCACCACTGAACTGTGCAAAATCCCTCCAAGGTTTCAGCTTCTCTTCTCAATTTGGCCCATTCACATTTTCCAGTTGGTATCTATGGGCTGTTTGGGGAACAAACAGGTCTTGTCCTTAGACCTATCATTTATCAGAATACCATACAATGCTGTCACAGCAAACTGCACAATATAGTCAAAAATTTCCAAAGAGACACAATGAGTAGACGAACACAGAATTGACAATTTTGAAATCATAAGGTTTCATGAAAGCTGGAACAGTTTAAAGGACAGTTTCGGAGATATAAAAAAATATATTCCAAGGTTCTTGAAACATGTGAGAAAACATAATAAGCATACAGATTTTCTTGGTGGGGTTTTAAAATTCAAATCTTAGTAGAAAAAGACTTTTTTCTTTGAGAGTCATGGAGAAGGGCTGTGCAAGCTCAGTGGTCAGACAACAGAGATACCAAAAGCCCAAACTAATGGCATTAATTCTGGGCAATAAGGAGGAGAGGAGAAACACTTTCATAAAGGAGTCAGAAGATGAGAGACACACTTTCAAAGTCAGAGGATTGTATAGGAATTGGGGGAGAAAGCTGAGAAAAAAGGAAGCCAAAAAAAAAAAAAAAAAAAGACCTAGGGTCGCTGGGACACATATGGCAGGTCAGAGACAGAATGCTTAAGAGTCGGGAGATTTAAAAATAACTAAAATTTCCAGTTCAGGTAAATGAGTAGGATCAACAAAAAGAGAAAAAGAAAGAATGCAGAAATAAATATATCTTTAAGAAGGAGCTATGTAAAGACCAGCAAAATTCTGATAATAATTAAGGCTTAATGACTAGGTTCATGAGAGTTCACTGTACTACCCTTTCCATTTTTCAGGATGTTAAAAATTATCACAATAAAAAGACTTTCAAAAATTTCTAGAAAGGGCTTGGTGCAGTGGTACACACCTATAGTTCTAGCCATTCAAGATGCTGAGGCAGGAGGACTGCGTGAGCCCAAGAGTTTGAGGCCTGCCTGGGCAACACAGCAAGACCCTATCTCTTTAAAAAAATTTGTTTTTCTTTCTGAAAAGTGTTGGTATGAACTTTCCTCATGACATTCTTCTCATTCTATTTCTGGTCTTAATCATCACTTTTTTTTAATAGTGTAACATTTCATAAAAATCCATTGGAAAATATGTAATGCCTCATAAAAAAACTGTAGTAAAGAATGAAACACCATTTAAGTGATTACCTTGATTTTTTTCTATGGCATCTCCTTTTGTTTCCTCTTCTTTAATGGGGGGACTTATTCTGGGGGTCCTACTTTGTCCCTGGACCACTTCTGCTAGCAATTCTTCTTGAGAAGTTCGAGTTCTGGGAGCAACTGGAAGTGTCTGTTTCTGTGGGACTTTCACATAAAAGCAAAAAAGACAGAAATACAAATGCAGTAATACATCAAAACTCAACAGCGACTACATCATATTAAATATAAATGCCTCCTTTGGTTTAGAACATATGAGGAGTTCAGGCTGGGCATGGTGGCTCACGCCTGTAATCCCAGCACTCTGGGAGGCGAGGTGGGTGGATCACTTGAGATCAGGAGTTTGAGAACAGCCTGGCTAACATGGTAAAACCCCGTTTCTACTAAAAATACAAAAATTAGCTGGGTGTGATACACATGCCTGTAATCCCAACTACTTGGGAGGTTGAGGCAGCAGAATCACTTGAACCCAGAAGGAGGAGGCTGCAGTGAGCTGAGATTGCATGACTGCACTCAAGCCTGGGCAACAAGAGTGAGACTTCCTCTCCAAAAAAAAAAAGAAAAAAAAAAAAAAAGAATAGAACAGAATAGAATATACACATGAGGAAGTCAATCCACATACCATTCATTTTTTTCTTACATTGCTGAGCTAGATACCTGACCTATTTATCCACACATATGTAAATAATGTCCATACATTTTAACCCACATGTCATGAATACCGTACATATGTATTCACTTTCAACAAAATGTGACTTATTTAAACTTAGCTTCATGATCTTATATCAGTTTCAAATTAGATAACCTAGGTAAAGAAGAAATTTTGAAAGTCATGGAAATTCTCTAAACTTCTCAGCATTCTAGACAATTAATATGCTGATAGATCAGGAAATGAAATGTAGATTGACATACCATTAGGTTAAGAGTGTACCTTTGCTATCTTTATCAATCCTTATCCATATGCCAAACCTGTTGAATTTTGTGTTCAAGGTTAAATTAGGGATAAGGAGAAAGAAGAAGACAGGCAAATATCAGAATCAAAACCTGATGGTGCCAGGCATGGTGGTTCACCCCTGTAATACCAGCACTTTGGGAGGCCGAGGCGGGTGATCACCTAAGGTCAGCAGTTCGAGACCAGCTGGGCCAACATGGTGAAATCTCATCTCTACTAAGTAACAAAAATATAAGCCTGGCACGGTGGCAAGCACCTGTAATCCCAGCTACTTGGAAGGCTGAGGCAGGAAAATCACTTGTACTCAGAAGGCAGAGGCTGCAGTGAGCCAAGATCATGCCACTGCACTCTAGCCTGGGCAACAGAGCAAGACTTCATCTCAAAAAAAAAAGAAAGCAAACAAAAAAACTGATGGGTAGTTTACCTCACTTTAGGAAGGGGTAAAAAAAGAGATGCCTGAGAGAGTGGACAGGCAGGGCAATGCTGTAACTACATCCATCAAATCCACAGCAAAAACTTACATCTTTTTAGAGTAGCTCATTATCACCAGCTTGTTAACGCAAGTTTACACATTGGCTACAACAGGTTGGCCAGAGTACAGAATTTAATGACAACACAAAATGACACCCATCAGTTGTTTGCATTTCCAAATGAGCTTTCCCTAAGACCAGCTTACAGCTGATTCATCTCCTGTTTTGAAAACATGTAGGCCGGGAGTAGTAGCTTATGCCTGTAATCCCAGCACTTTGGGAGGCCAAGGTGGGTGGATCACAAGGTCAGGAGATCAAGACCATCCTGGCCAACATGGTGAAACCCTGTCTCTACTAAAAATACAAAAATTAGCCGGGCATGGTGGCGTGCACCTATAGTCCCAGTTACTCAGGAATTGCTTGAATCCGGCAGGCAGAGGTTATAGTGAGCTGAGATCATGCCACCGCACTCCAGCCTGGGTGAGAATCGAGACTCTGTCACAAGAGGGAAAAAAATGTAATACTTTTATATTCTGTGATAAAAAGATTTAGTACTTCCACTAGAATTGGAGCAGGAACATCACAAATGATTAAATTCTTGAGTTCCACTGAAAGGGAGGAAACCAATCTGTTTATGTACTACTGTTAAACAAATTTCTATGACTTCAGCTGCCTATTACTATCCAATTGTACTCCCCTTTATACATCATAAATTCATATCTGATGCTGAATCTAATGCTACTAATATGAAAGTCCCACTTCATCAAAATTCTCTTCAAAATGTTTATGTACTATGTATTTCACACACATTGGAAACAGTATAAAAAGCATTATATGGTGCTCAAAAAACTACAGTCCACTACGCCTGGCAAAGTTCCTCAAACCAGTCAATCTCCTTTAAAGCCATTCTTCTACAGGGGAACCTCATCTTGGTCTTGACATCTGACAGGCACCTTTATTTTATACAATTTAAGGAGCAATCACTTTCAGCTTACTCAAGAATTGCAGAAATCTTTTACGAAGTGTAAACATAATACATTTAAGTTACCTGTGGAATAGTTAGTTGTTTTTGTTACAGATTCTTGAGCTTCAGATATAGCCTTCAAAATCAGATTCTTGTTAGCTTGTTTAGAAGGTGGAAGAGAAGGTCTAAAAGAGTTAAGAAAGGTATTTTTATTAAACTTTAAATTTCACTTCTTCACAGGCCACCCATTATGCCTTTACCACAACCTTCTCCAGGTTTTAAACAGACGAGCTGCAGTTTTTAGAAAATGCCAACTAGACTGGAATCTTATTTTTTTTTAAAGAGACAAGAGTCTTGCTCTATCACCCAGGCTGGAGTGTAGTGTGTCACTGCAGCCTTAAATTTCTAGGCTCAAGTAATCCTTCCCCATCAGCCTCTCCAGTCTAAGACTATAGGCCCCTGCCACAATGACTGGCTAATTTATCTTTGTAGTGACAAAAGACTCATTACATTGCCCAGGCTGGTCTTGAACTCCTGGCCTCAAGCAATACTCCTGCCTCAGCCTCCCAAAGTGCTAGGTACACGCATAAGCTACCATGCCCAGGTCCCTTTTAGTTTTTGTTTTGTTTTGGATATGGAGTCTCAATCTGTTGCCCAGGTTAGAGTGCAATGGCGCAATCTCGGCTCACTGCAATCTCCACCTTCTGGGTTCAAGCAATTCTCCTGCCTCAGCTTCCCTTGTAGCTGGGATTACAAAGGCACTGCCAACACGCCCAGCTAATTTTTGTATTTTATTTTTTTTTATTTTTATTTTTTTAAGCAGAGATAGGGTTTCACCATGCTGGCCAGGCTGGTCTCAAACTTCCAACCTAAGGTAATCCACCCGCCTCAGCCTCCCAGTGTTGAGATTACAGGCATGAGCCACCGAGCCCGGCCCTAGTTTTTTTTAACATAACAAATCTGAATATTAATTGATGTGTTCCTCCTCACGCCATCATCAGTGTTTAATATCTTCTGCAAATCTTTACAAATGTTAAGCAATTTCTCTTATTAATGTGTTTCTCAAAAGCCAATGGAAAAGTCTACATGGTATTACATTAAGTATTTATGCTGGGTGCATTGGCTCATACCTATATTCCCAGTACTTTGGGAAGCCAAGGTTGGCGGATAACCTGAGGTCAGGAGTTCAAGACCAGACTGGTCCAATATGGTGAAACCCCATCTCTACTAAAAATGCAAAAATTAGCTGGGCATGGTGGTGTGCACCTGTAATCCTGGCCATTCGGGAGGCTGAATCAGCAGAATTACTTGAACCTGGAAGGCAGAGGTTGCAGTGAGCCAAGATCACATCACTGCACTCCAGCCTGGATGACAGAGTAAGACTCCATATATTGAAAAAAAGTATTTTAATGATTATTCTCTTCAAGAAATTGAGAAGACTCCATCAAGGCAGTAAAAGACTAATTTACAGCCATGTTTAAGGTACCTCCTTTCAGGCTTTGCTGGCACAGACACACTGCTGGAGATGCTTCCTGTTCGAGACCCATAATCATCATCTTCTTCCTCCTCTTCTCCATCATGATTGAATTTTTTTACTTTAACAACTGAACTTACCACAGGCAACTTTCTCTTCCGAAAGTTTTCATCCTGCAATCAGATAAAATTTATGCTTAACTCATCTCGGAAAATAACAAAAGTTGTACCACAGAATATTTTTTAAGAAAAAAACAGTAATATGAAAAATTCACAGGATATTTCTTGGTTTTGTGTAAAACTATGAATATTATCCCCAATAGCCAACCTTTAGCTAAAACAAAAATTAGAGCTTTATGTTTATTTTATTAACAGCTGCATACAGTGTTATTGAGGAAACTAATAAAACAGTTAATTGGTTGCTTACTAGCAATTACCATGAACAATCTAAACTTGATCTGAAATCCCCTCCCCCAATTAATATAAGATTAAAGCTATCTCAAATGCTGGAAATCCCAAAAAGGTGTTCAGATGTGATATAAAAGAACTCTAGGAGCAAGCCACGGACAGGAAAATCTGACTGGTGTATCATGAGAAACAGCAGTTAAACAATTTAAAAATAAACTTGCAACATGTGTTCAGTGACTTCACATATTATTTAGTATCAAGAACTGCCAATTTTTATCCTAATAAGCCAGAATTTAAAAATACATACAAACCTCCATACTCATTTTCTCCGAGTTGTTTCTAAAGAACGGACTATACGTTTCTTCTAAGCTGTTAAGCACTTCTTGTTCACACAAACGTCCTGTTTCATATACCCAACTATTCTGCATATCAAGCTGCTTGGCAGCATGAATACTATTTTGCTGCTGTTGAAATTGCAACCTGTTTAAATGAACACCACTATCTGCATTTCTACTTGCAGGTGGTCGATAAATTTCAATAGAAGGGCGAGAAGAACCATATGTAAGTGTCACTGTAGGTTTTTTCTGAGATAAAGGGTTCTCCTGCACAAAGTTCAGGTCTTCGTCAATGAGATCATCTGGTTCTGGCTTAATATCAATCACATCTTCAGAGGGTGCTGGCTCCCTCAAAGGTTTCACTGTTGACATTAGTCGGGTTGCAGCTCCATCATCATAAGTCTGCCTATTTAAAGAACAACAAAATGTATTATACCAAATTAGGGCAATTATCTCCAAATCTTCAAAGAATGTTTACTTAAAAAATTTCAATGAGGCCGGGCGCGGTGGCTCAAGCCTGTAATCCCAGCACTTTGGGAGGCCGAGGTGGGTGGATCACGAGGTCAAGAGATCGAGACCATCCTGGTCAACACGGTGAAACCCCGTCTCTACTAAAAATACAAAACATTAGCTGGGCATGGTGGCGCGTGCCTGTAATCTCAGCTACTCAGGAGGTTGAGGCAGGAGAATTGCCTGAACCCAGGAGGCGGAGGTTGCGGTGAGCCAAGATTGTGCCATTGCACTCCAGCCTGGGTAACAAGAGTGAAACTCCATCTCGAAAAAAAAAAAAAAAAAAAAAAATTTCAGTGAAGGCCGGGCATGGTGGCTCACGCCTGTAATCCCAGCATTTTGGGAGACCAAGGAGGGTGGATCACGAGGTCAGGAGATCAAGTCCATCCTGGACAACATGGTGAAACCCCGTCTTTAAAACAAACAAAAAAATTCAATTAAAAAAATGAGGATATTCCCTTTATATACTCCTTTCAAAACTACTTTGAAATTGCACATTCTTTAAACTTTGATTTATTAAATCTGTAATGAAAGATAACCATACTTAGATCTTATCCATTATTTTATTCAAAAAACTGCTCATGATCACTTCACTGTTTCTAAAAATTGCTGAAAACAACAAACTGAAACATATAAAAACTAATATAAATGTCACATACACAAAGCCATCTGCCCACAACAGGTCTACACCAGACTCTTACCTGATATTAGTGGTTTTTGACTCCTGTGAACTTGTAGCAACTCTGGAATCTCTTTTTTCAGGTCTAGTGCTAGGAATGGCAAGTGGTGGCACTGCAGCTTCATGCCTCCTCTCATCTCCCCGACTGAAACTGCTCTTGTTTGAAGACACGTTACTATCAAAGATGTTGGTATCAGAAGACTTTAGACTAGACGGTTCTGAAAAGAAAAACATAGTCCTTTGAATCTATTTTTATTACTTTAAGTCTTTTCCTTCCTCATCACCAATTCAAAAGCAATACATGTTTATTGTAGAAAATTTCAGAAATATAAATAAAAATCACTAATTATCTCTCTTTTTTCCCCCCCATCCCACCCTCCACCAATTATTTCAAAGGTGATTTTTTTGGGAGAAGAGCATACACACACATGTTTGAAAACATCTACCTATGTGTGTATATTCTCATGTTATTCTTTCACAACATTATTTTTAATAGTTGATTATTATTCCATACATGGTAACATAACAATTTAGTTTATTATCACTGGACTTTTAAATTGTTTTCAATTATAAAATACTGAAATATCCTTGAGGCTAAATCTTCACACACAAATGTAAGTATTTCCTTCAGATAAAGTGCACTGCTCTCTCTCCCACACTTAAATTATCTTTGAATTATATTACATTTACTACTCTTAAGTTCATAAAAATATGCGCTTTCTAAAAAAGTTCAAATGAACCACTGTTCTGAAATTAATGGTTTTTTTCCAAAGCACTATAAATGACTTTAGAAAGAAATCATATGCCATAGCAAGTAGAACTTTTTTTTCTTTTTCTCTATTTCTTTGCTTTTCTTTTTTTTTCTGACACAAGGATTTTGTACTACAGAAAGGGCAAGCAGAAATTTTAAAAAAAAACAATGTTAGGAATCTTACCAGTTGTAACAGAGCGAAGTTTATCTAATACACCATGAAGCCTGAAAAAAAAACAACCAAAAAAACAATAAAGCCTGTTAAGAAAGATTTCAATTCAACTGTCACTCTAAATTCATGACATTATATTCAGAGATAATTTTTTAAAATGTTTTATACTTTTATCATTTTAAAATTCAGACAGGGTTTCACTGTGTTGTCAAGACTAGACTTTAAGTTCTAGATTCAAGAGAACCACCTGCCTCAGCCTCCCAAAGTGCTGGGGTTACAGGCATGAGCCACCACACCCAGCTGATAAAAATACTGATAAGCTGTATTAAGTGAATAAACGGTATTAAAATTAACTTTCAAATTTCACATTTTTAAAAAAAGGCTTTTTATAAATTCTACAGAAGTCAATAAACTGTATTTTTTTCTCCACTGTATTCAACATCTAGCCTCTGCAAAAATAAGGGAAAAAAACATCATCTGACCAGAGTCAGTCTACAAAATGTCACCGTTTTCCAAGTACTAAAGACTTACTGCAGCTTACAGTAAAATAAGACCAAGTATCATAAACATGTAATATTTCTTATTATTACAAGCATTTAAGCAGTTTATATTAACTGCTTAAATTAGATAGTTTCTTGGACAACTTAATTCTGAGAGGTTAAAAAAAGTTATAATTTCAAAATATGCTTTATCATTTCAATCTATTACTTTCAAAACTGACACTGTAAGGCTACAACCTTGCTTGTAACATAACCTGTTTTGGGAGTTATAAATGAGGTGATTTGCCTTATATCCCTTCCCAGTACCTCCAAAAAAATGCCAAAAATCTCATGTTTCAATGAGAACCCTAGTCACATGCTACTGTCCCCACGGACATGGGCTAGAGACACCTATGAGCACAATTATTTCAAGGCTCCAAATAATCAGAATAGTCTGTTTGGGGCTGGTGTTAATGAACATTAACTTTAGAAAGCAAAGTGCCAAAATGGGGACATCTTCCATAAAACATAAGTAGAGGTTAAAGGACCAAATTTATGGCCAGATGAGAATGCTGAATTAATGTGGTTTTAAATTCAGTTCATAGTCTGTTTAAAAAAAATCTCTCTAGGCCGGGCATGGTGGCTCACACCTGTAATCCTAGAACTTTGGGAGGCCAAGGCAGGTGGATTATGAGGTCAAGAGATTGAGACCATTCTGGTCAACATGGTGAAACCCCGTCTCTACTAAAAATACAAAAAAAAAAAAAAAAAAAAAAATTAGCTGGGCATGGTGGTACGCCTGTAGTCCCAGCTACTTGGGAGGCTGAGGCAAGAGAATTCCTTGAACTCCAGGAGGCAGAGGTTTCGGTGAGCCAAGATCATGCCATTGTACTCCACCCTGGGTAACAAGAGCAAAACTCCATCTCAAAAAAAAAAAAACTCTCGGCCGGGCGCGGTGGCTCAAGCCTGTAATCCCAGCACTTTGGGAGGCCGAGGCGGGTGGATCACGAGGTCAAGAGATCGACACCATCCTGGTCAACATGGTGAAACCCCGTCTCTACTACAAATACAAAAATTCAGCTGGGCATGGTGGCGTGTGCCTGTAATCCCAGCTACTCAGGAGGCTGAGGCAGGAGAATTGCCTGAACCCAGGAGGCGGAGGTTGCGGTGAGCCGAGATCGCGCCATTGCGCCATTGCACTCCAGCCTGGGTAACGAGCGAAACTCCGTCTCAAAAAAAAAAAAAAAAACCTCTCTAAAGTGTTCCATCAAGCTATCTGAGAAAGGATCTACTCAGTCAATCTTCCATCTTAGATTGGCTGGACTATAGGAAGAAGAAAAACAGTACTCACAATAATAGTAATTTCCCCAGTCAAAAGCCCCACAATCTTTTTTTTGAGGGGGAGGCTGGGAGAGAATAACCTCTGGGGACAAATTGTAACGAATGGGCTGGGTCACCCACAGTGAGACAGTAGTGTGTGTATCATAACTACTGATGACCACTATACAGTGTTCTTTAAATTTGTGCAATGTATAAACCCAGAGAATTCTGTGCAGAATTTCAAGAAGGCTGATAAGCATACAGTTCCCTACTGGGGCAAAAACACCTTGAAGACAACCTCTGGTATAAAGGCAAGAAGTTAACCAGGCTCATCTCCCCACTTAGTGCCTTATGTTGCCATTCAAATTCAGCAGGCCACTTGCTCACTTAACATTTGCTACATCAGCAGCTTTGACGGTAACTGGTAGTTCCTAGTCTGAGTGGTCTTATAAAGTATTTCTTGTCTATTCTCAGCTATATCATTATCTTCCAGCCCCTATCCTCTCTTGACCTCAAACCTGGTACCAGGACCTAGCATCTTAAGTTGAATCTTACACTTCTAGTCAGCATTCTCAACTAAAGACATACAACAGTAATTTATGTATAAAAGCAAAGTTGCCTATTTTAAAATTCCAAACTTAAAAATCTCAAATATGCTATAAAATTACACCACAATTATTACTTAAAATGAAAGTGTGAGTTTAATAAAGAGCTTAAAAAGTTAGAAACAGAAAACCTTGCCATATAAGAGGTAATTCATTGTAAAAGGCAATATAAGAAGCCAACCCAGTTCAAAAAAGATCTGTAACTGGTTTTGGTATGGGAAAAGGAACTATATGATGGAGAAGCTGGCCAGCTGCAGTGGCACACAAATATAATCCGAAGACTTCTGAAGGCCAAGGCAGAAGGACTGCTTGAACCCAGGAATTCAAGACCATCCAGGGCAACATAGAAGACCCTGTCTCAACAAAAAATTAAGAAATTAGCCAGGCATAGGTGTGGGGGAGGGAGGACACTGAGATGGGATGATCACCTGAACCCAGGAAATTGAGGCTGCAGGGACCCATTATTGTACCACTGTGCTACAGCCTAGATAACAGAGTAAGATTCTGTCTCAAAAAAAGATATAGAAATTTACAAAAGAAATATAATAACTATAGCTGACAGATACTAAGAATTCCTCAGGGACATAGGCTAGAGACACCTATAAGCACTTTACACATATGAGCCCATTTGATCCTCACAACAACTTTATAAAGCAGGTGATTTTACTATTCCCAGATGGAGAAACCAAGGCAAGATGCCGGGCCAAGATTCAACTTTGGCAGTCTGGCTTCAGAGGCTGGTAAAGTTTGGCTCTGTGTCGCCATCCAAATCTCATCTTGAATTATAATCCCCACCTGTCAAGGGAGGAAGGTGATTGCATCATGGGGGTGGTTTCTCCCATGACAGTCTCAGCATAGCAAGTTCTCATGAGATCTGATAGTTTTAAAAGTCTCTGGAAGTTCCTCCTTCACTCTTCTCTTTCCTGCCAGCTTGTGAAGAAGGTGCTTGCCTCCCCTTCCGCCATGATTTTAAGTTTCCTGAGGCCTCCCCAGCTATGTGGAACTGTGAGTCAATTAAACCTATTTCTTTTATAAATTATCCAGTCTCAAGTATTTCTTTATAGCAGTATGAAAAAGGACTAATACAGAGGCTGTGCTCTCATCACTCACAAACTGCCTCTCCAAAGTGAACCTAACTCAACTGCCAAGAACCATTCTTCAGACAGGATATCAACTCTCGTTTGTGCCAAACTTTGGTCTGAGGCACAAAAATTCAGAAACATACCATACGGTGAATCGAATTGTGTTGTTCCCTAGAAACAGGGATAGATCCTCTGTCATTTGGTCCTGACTTTTCTTGTTGGCCACCATCACCATAATGTAATCAGGAAGTTCTTCATCTATTTAAAAGGAAAGGTATATCAAAACTTTGTTTCCTCAAAACTTTCTTCTTAAAGCTGATATGCTTGAAAATATAGATGTAGCTCTAAGCTTTAGAGTCTCAGAGTGATAGTGGGATTATATTGGGCAAAAGAGCTTAGCTTTAATTTTTTTCTCCTAATTCCACAGGTATTTTAATTACTAGAAGGATGGAAATTAAGAATTAATACTTACAAAACTAGACATTCTGAATTACAGAATCAAACTTGAGTGTGCGTTCACTTCCTTGAATCTTTTTAATAATGCTTCATTTCAAAGAAGCTTCCAGGAAATATAGTTTTGTTTAAATTTACAATGTTTCAAAACAACACTAATTCCTCAAGAGAACATCTTTACTTTTGGTAAAGGCAGGTTACAATTACTCAGGGTAACAAACTTGCAGCAACATCAAATAAACAATAGACCCAAAAGCACCACATCATTTAAAAAACTCAATTTAAACATTAAATAATGTCAACTCCACTCACTGTTTTACCTCACAGTGGTAATCCTATAGTGATCATAAGGGTGAGGTCTAGGATTTAAAAAAAAAAGCCAAAAAACACCATCACAGTGGGAATCCTAAGTGAAGGAAAAAAAATCCTCAGTAACAAGATATAGAGGCAAAAGTTGTTATTAGGAACTCTAGGCTCTGCACCCCCAAAACCCCATTAGATTTCTTTTTGAGACAGTCTTGCTCTGTCCCCCAGGCTGGAGTGCAGTGGCGCAATCTTGGCTAACTGCAACCTCTGTCTCCCGGGTTCAAGTCAGTCTCCTGCCTCAGACTCCTGAGTAGCTGCGATTACAGGTGCCTGCCATCATGCTGGCTAATGTTTGTATTTTTAGTAGAGATGGGGTTTCACCATCTTTGCTAGGCTGGTCTCGAACTCCTGACCTCAAGTGATCTACCCACCTCGGCCTCCCATAGTGCTGGGATTACAGGTGTGAACCACCGTGCCCTGCCAGGTTTTTTAATACCTTAAATACTTGTAATATTTCTACATAGGCAGAAAGGTTCATTCAAAGTACTTTCAAACATTTGTTTCAAAGAAAAATATTAAAAATGCAGTTCAAGTGTTGAGAAAATAAAAGAATAAATAAATCTTGGTTCAGCTTCATTTTCTCTGAGCTTCAATTATCTCATTATCTGAGCTTCAATTCTCTCATCTGTTAGTCTTACAACAATCCTGACAACAAATCATTTATGAAATCACCCAGCAAATGGTGGAAAGCACTCCATAAATTACCAATTCTCAATCTTGGGCCCCTTCTCTGGTTTATGCAGGTTCTATCTATTATTTACTGTGTTCAAAATTAGAACTGAGAATTTTTAAAGTATTTATTAATTCATTAAAAAATACACCCATCACATGTTAATCACAAACCCAATTATATTAACATAAGTAACATTATTTTTATTAAAATAAATTTTCAAAAAAAAAATTTTGGCTGGGTGTAGTGGCTCACGCCTGTAATCCCAGCACTGTGGGAGGCCAAGGTGGATGGATCACCTAAGGTCAGGAGTTCAAGACCAGCCTGGCCAACATGGTGAAACCCCATCTCTACTAAAAACACAAAAATTAGCAGGGTATGGTGGCTGGTGCCCGTAATCCCAGATACTTGGGAGGCTGAAGCAGGAGAATTGCTTGAACCTGGGAGGGGGAGGCTGCAGTGAGCCGAGATCTCGCCCTTGTACTTTAACCCAGGTGACAGAGTGAAACCCCTTCTCAAAAACAAAACAAAACAAAAAAACTTTAGTGCAAAGAGTGGCCTTGTTTCATATTTTTATATATCTTGTGCTTTGTCCTTATCATTGAAGAATGTGAAGAAAATCTGGTCTCAAAGATAGCAGTTGGAAAAGAAAGGAATATTCTCACAGTCTTTTCAGATAAGCTGGATATCCTTCTGTGACACTGCACCAAAACTAAAGAAGTGGTAGCTTATTAAATGTTAGAGCAATGTGGAATGTCAAATACATCAATGACCTTTTTGAACTGTTAGAGAAATCCACTGACCCATCCTACAGTTTACTTATCTATTTTTTATTTTTTAAAGATGGGGTTTCACCATATTGGTCAGGCTGTTCTCGAACTCCTGACCTCAGGTGATCCGCTTGCCTCAGCCTCACCATGCCTGGCACACCCTACAGTTTAAATAAATCTTTAACCATGCATAATTTTGTAACATTACGCATTGGTTATTTAGAAAATACTGGTTCAGGCCAGGTGCAGTGGCTCATGCCTGTAATCCCAGCACTCTGGGAGGCCGAGGTAAGTGGATCACCAGGTCAAGAGATTGAGACCATCCTGGCCAACATGGTGAAACTCCGTCTCTATTAAAAATACAAAAATTAGCTGGGCATGGTGAGGTGCACCTGAAGTCCCAGCTACTTGGGAGGCTGAAGCAGGAGTATCACTTGAACTCAGGAGGTGGAGGTTGCAGTGAGCTGAGATCAAGCCACTGCACTCCAGCCTGGGGACACAGTGAGACTCCATCTCAAAAAAAAAACAAAAAACAAAAACAACAACAACAACAAAAAACAAAAACAGGTCCACTGAGCTACAAAAACCACTGACATACTTGATATATTTCATTATGCAATATAAAATTATTTTTTAATATCACCATTGATTTAATCAGAAATTTTTTTTAGTACTGGGAAGCTGTCAAGTTCATGGAGGCAGGCTCAGATTTTCTAAAATTCTAATTTTCATTTGAAAGCTCACATGTGATTGGCAACAAAGACTATGGGTTCTTTTCTTTGCTCACTTTCAAGTAAATATCTGCCAAATATCCTAGTGTATGTAACCAGATTACCGGTTCTTTGAAGTTAAAAATGATGTTCCATGAAAGAGGCGGCTAGCTTAGTTCCCAACTCAAATGATGTTCCTTAAAACAACCATATTTCAGAATACAATAAAAATGTTTTATGAGCATTTCCATTTCCTCACACTGAATACGAAAAAGACAAAAAATATTTTTTAAACCCTGGACTTCACATCTTCATCAATGACATTTTAAAGGTAACTAGCTTAAAAAAAATACAAGTGGGGAGTGATTTGAATACAATCTCTATTATGGTGTGACTATGTTGACCAGTTTTACCAATCATTAGTTTTACACAATCCAAATGTCAACATAGTGGAAAATTAGCAAATACCATCTTAGTTACTACCTCAGTACTACTACGAAAACAGTTCTGACTTCAGAGACCCTTGGAGTCTCCCACACTTTGAGAACCACTGTCATAAGTGGTAGCTATTATTTTTACAGGAGGCACTAGCTTTGGGGGCAAACCATAAAACCTTACTCAAGTAGGCAAATCCTCAGTTTCCCTGTTTACACAGTCAAAGATACTGCCACTTACCTTCCAGTGTTCTTGCAGGGATTATTCTGAGTTAATGCATATACAACAGTTAAGCACAGTGCCTGGACCAGAGTAAACACTCAAATTATAAAACAATAAGGTGAAGGAAAACGCTTTACTGTTTCAGAGGAGAGAAAGAGGGAAAACATAAAGAGATCTGAAAATAAAACTCACTGAACCATTTTACAGAAGTAAATGCCAGAAAGCATCAAACATTCACAACCAAAATCAGAGTTCTAAAAACAAATGTTAAGAGAAAAGTAACAAGAATAGGACACCTTAAACAAGCATGGCGGCTCACACTAGTAATCCCTGCACTCCCAGCACCTTGGGAGGTTGAGGTCAGAGGAGCGCTTGTGCCCAGGGGTTAGGACCAGCCTGGGCAACTTAGCGAGACCCCGTCCCTAGAATTTAAAATGAGAGAGAGAGAGAGAGAATAAAAAAAAACACATAAATAAAATTTGGTTAAACATTATGTAAAATATGACAGAGCCTTAACGCAGGAAACTAAATTTCAAAACACTATAACAGAAGGTGGTTTGGGAGAAAAAATGCAAGGTTGCAAAAAGAATGATAAGGAAGTAACCAAGGAGTACAGGATTTGAAGAAGATAGAAGGGAGTCTCTCCCAACGTCCAAAGCACGGTGAGAAATATGCCCTCACTAAAATTCAATTAGCTGCAAATTCAAAATTCCAAGAGACTAACAACCAAAAAACACTTACCAACATAAGCTCCTAATTCTTGCAATTTCCCCTTAATGGCACTCTGAGAGAAAAAGAGTAAACGTGCATGTAAGAAACGCGGCTCTAGGAAAAGACCGACTCCGCAGCGCTGAGGCCACTTTGCTGGTGCGCGCACCGCCGGGTCCCCCGGGCGGGGGCGGGGGCGGAGGCGAGGAGGGGCCTCGCTTGCGCCCCCCCACACCCCGCTCCGGCCCCACGGCGACCACCTCCCACAGCGGATCCTGAGCTGCTCGCTTCGCCGCAGTGGTGGCTCCCGCCGGGCCTGCAGCCGTCCTTCCGTTTCCCCGCGGCTACTTCAGCCGCAGCCCCGCTCGCCCGCCCGCCTCGGAGCCGTGCTCTGAGGCCGCAAATGCCCCCAGGCCCGAGGCGGCCTGGACCGGGGGCGCTGCAGCCCGCTAGGAGCGTCCGGCGGCGGCCAGGCCGCAGCGTCCACCCGGGCCCAAGGTCCCCGTTACTCCTGACAACCGCCCTCCCGCCCGCTCGCCCGCCGAGACCCGGCTTCCCACCCCCGTCCGGCGCAGGCCTCACCCGGATCTTGCGGCTGATCTCGGTGCCGATCTCCATGGCGCCGCAGCGTGCGGGAACTCAGCACTGCGTGCGCGTAGCTTACCCGAGCCTACAGCGGGATCCTACCCCGCAGCCCGGCCACCACCCCCTCCTCCTCCTCCGCTCCGCCCCGGCCGCGCACACGGCGTATCCCCGCCCCCGCCGGCACGGCGCGCCGGAGTGAGCACGCATGCGCCCGTGGCCGCGCCTGCGCACACCTACCCGCCAAACCAGCGCTCCGGTAAGCACCGCAAGGCGGTGGCTTGCGCTTGCGGTCGGCTAGGCCGCTCCACCTCCCGGGTGCGTAGGAGAGCCTTCGTTAGTCTCTGTGCTGGCCCTCGGCTTACTCATTTTATTCTCCTTTGAGTGGTAAGAATGAATTAAATGTGTAGCAGAAACATCTTGGGCTATGATATGAAATGCGAGTTCAAATCCAGCCCTCACTTACTGTTACTATGGTATCGGTCCAGGTATTTCAACTTTTCTGACCTGAAAAATGGAGTCTGCCTCTTAGAAGTTGCACTGCAATTACTCTTGAAGGGAAAATGGACTATCCAGAGCAACAGAACCAATCCGTCAAGTCTTTTCTTTGACTCTGCACTACCCGGGCCCTCCTGGGTTTGGTTCTGCCTTCCTTCTCCCGGGCCCACCCGTGGCCTCTCCCCGAGACGAATCCCCATCCTCCTCTGAACACCCTCCGTGGGACAATACTTTTGTTCTGGGGACTTCAGCTGTCAACTCTGCTGATAATGACCGAATTTCCCATCAGCCTTAAGTTTTCACGTAAACCCCACTCCCAACTTCTTTATTTATTTTTGAGACAGAGTCTCACTCTGTCAGCCAGGCTGGAGTGCAGTCGCGTGATCTTGGCTCACCGCAACCTCCACCTCCCGGGTTCAAGCTACTCTCCTGGCTCAGCCACCCGAGTAGCTGGGATTACAGGCGTGTGCTACCACGCCTGGCTAATTTTTTGTATTTTTAGTAGAGATGGGGTTTCACCGTGTTAGCCAGGATGGTCTCAATCTCCTGACCTCTTGATCTGCCTGCCTCAGCCTCCCAAAGTGCTGGGATTACAGGTGTGAGCCACCACACCCGGCCCCCCAACTTTTAAGTGACTACTCTGATTTTCTTCAAATTCAGCACTTAAACAGAAGTCATCTTCATCTCGCCTTTCCCCACTCATAGGTATCTACTCCTGATTCCCATATTTGTATCAATAGCTGAATTCTCCCTATCCCTGATCACAAAACTTGGGAAACAGGAAGCACAGAGAGATCTTTCTCCCTTATATCCACTAATTCCTGAGAGTGGTGTCTGTTGTCCATTGCTGCATAACAAATGCACACCTTAAAACACAAATGTTTGTCATCTCATGGTTTCTGTGGCTCAGCTTCACTGAGTCCTCTGCTCAGGCTCTCACAAGGCTACAATCGAGGTGTCAGGGAGGCTGTGTTCTCATCTGAAGGCTTGACTGAGTTTCTATGTTCAGGATCATTCAGGTTGTTAGCTAGAATTCATTTCCAACTAAGTATGCTAACTCATGCCTGTAATCCCAGCAGTTTGGGAGGCTGAGGCTGGCGGATCACTTGAGACCAGGAGTTTGTGACCAGCCTGGGCAACATGGCAAAAACCTGTCTCTCTGTACTCAAAAGTACAAAAAATTAGCTGGGTATGGTGGCATGCACTTCTAGTCTCGACATAGGAAGCTGAGAGGGGAGGATTGCTTGAGCCTGGTTGGCAGAGGTTGCAGTGAGCCAAGATCATGCCACCGTACTCCAGCCTTGGTGACAGAGTGAGACCCTGTCTCAAAAAAAAAAAAAGAAAGAAAGAAAAAAAATTCATTTTCTTGTGTCTTTGTAAGGACCCTGATTTTTTTCTGGCTATCATCTGAAAGCCACCCTCAAGTCCTAGAGGCTGCCCACAGTTCTTTGTCAAAGGATTCTCTAACATTTCTGTTCACATAAGCCAGTGAAGGCCAGGCACAGTGGTTCATTCCTGTAATTTCAAATCAGTGAAGTAGAGGTGGGAGGATCACTTGAGGCCAGAAAATTGAGACCAGCCAAGAGCTTTTATCTAAGTTAGGCCCACTCAGGACCTGACCCCAAAATCAACTGATTTAATACCTTAATTACATCTGTCAAACCTCTCATTTTTGCCATATTTATTACGTAAGCAATCCCCACTGGGGGTCAGGAGCAGGTTGTACAGTGTGTGGACAGCAGGAGCAGGAGCTGTGGGGCTACCTAGGGTCTGTCATATTGTCCTTTAATAATCTAATATCCTTTCTTCTGAATTCCTATGGCATCTATATGGAAGCTATTAGTATAATAATATACTGTCTGCAATGTTATTTCGTGTGTGTGTGTGTGTGTGTGTGTGTGTGTGTGTGTGTCTTCCCTAACAAAATTAAAATTATAAACTCTCTATAGAGCTTTATATTTCTCCAACCTTTCTTTCAGGATGCTGGACACATAGTAAGCTCTCATTAAATATTTATGGGGTAAAAGAAATTAAAGACCTAATTTACAAAAGCATTCCTCAAGGATAAATCCAGTGATCATACACTCATTCAACATTGATGACGGGCAGCGGAGCAGAATGACAGAGAACAAGGGCACTGCAGCCAGACTGTGTGGTATGAACCTTGGCTCTGCCACTCCTTCTGAGACCTTAGGCAAATTGCTTCTCATCTCTGTGCCTCAGTTTCCTTATCTGTGACTGATAAGGTATGATACTAGTTTCATCTGCAAACGGTTACTGTAAGGATGAAATAAGTTAATAGTTGTGAAGCATATTGAACTGTGCCTGGCTCATAGCAGCACTAACTTGCTGATTAAAAATTAAGTATCTTCAGTGGGTCAGATACTGTGCCAGGAGCCAGAGCACAAAGAGGAGCCAGACCAAGTCCCTGCTTTCATGACACTCACAATCCAAAAGACAGATGAATTGCTTTTATTCCTTTACCAACCATTTCAGAACTAACAACAAAAACACTTGTTTTACCATTGCTAGATACCCAGTCCTCAGTCAATATTTACATAATATTGAAAATAACATTTAATAAAAGTAATGTTTTCATTAAAGCATATTCAGAGTAGGGAAACTTATTAAAATATATTCAAGAAAGTGTTAACTTTTAGCACAATGAGCTAACTTTTAGGACAACTATGGAATAGAGACTGGAAGGCTGCTTGAGACCTCCCACCCTTAGATCTAAGATGTTACAATGTCTGGATCACAGGAGGGGCCACCCCACTAAACCAATGGTATTTGGTGGTCCAGTGCAATTTCAGGCACCTCGCTGTAAACTGCGGCTTCACAAACTACATCACATCTTGAAAATGTTCATAATGATGCCCTAAGAGAAGCCATTAGAGGGAGTAGGAGTGCTAGGCTTGGAAAAGACTAAACTGGACATTTTTTTTCCCCAGCTTGGAAGTGTTCTCTGATTCAGGGGAAACAACATGTTTTCCTCTAGGGGATAATATGAAGACCAGATTTCAACAAACCAAAGTGCCAGCTAAGAGGGCTCTGGGCTATCTTCCAAAAAGAGAAGATGACTGAAAAGAGCATTGGCTTTGAAGTCAGAAGGGCTGAGTACCAACCCCATCTCCATGGAGCCATGAGTCTTTCAACATTGCCCTCCACCACGCCTGCAATCTCTTCTCAGGTTGCATTTCAGTGAGATGTTGCACATTGTTTAGGTGCGCGCGCGCGCGCGCGTGTGTGTGTAGAAGCAGTAGGGGGTGGGGGAAAGGCGGTTGGGGGTACCCTCCTGTCTGCAAAGCTTTTCTTTTCATTTTTTTTTTGTTTTTTTGAGACGGAGTCTGGCTCTGTCACCAGTGGTGCAATCTTGGCTCACTGCAACTTCCGAAGTTCAAGCAGTTCTCCTGCCTCAGCCTCCCAAGTATCTGGGACTAGAGGCACGCACCAACCACGCCCAGCTAGTTTTTGTCTTTTTAGCAGAAACGGGGTTTCACCATGTGGGGCAGGATGGTCTTAATGTCTTCACCTCGTGATCTGCCCACCTTGGCCTCCCAAAGTGCTGGGATTATAGGCATGAGCCACTGTGCCCGACCCAAAGCTTTGCTTTTCTTTGAGTGCTCAGTCAACCTTTTGTTGTCCTTCCAGACTCAAGCAGAAGCTGATCACAGTGATTAAACAAACATTACCAGTTCATTCAGACTATATAGTATAACCATGTATAAATTTCCTCACCTGCTACAATTACATATTCACCTGTTATTCCTATGCTGAGTATTTGAGGACAGGGATATGTATCTATTTACCTGTCTCCTTGCAGCACCTGGCTTCTATATGTGGGCTGAATGGAAAAATGTTTTCCAATAGTGATTATCACATAGCATAGACATATTTGGATCAAAGTCCCTAAGTATTGGGAATTACAGTCATAGCAGTCACTTGCTACCAAGGCAGACATTCTTCTCCATTTGAACAAACACATTGCCAACATCATCATTTCTCTGATGTTCAGGGTAATCTATCCATAAAATTATCACTCTTTTATAACTGAAAAGGTGTTGCATGTGACACAGCATTGAGCATGATAGACAGAACTTAAAGTGCAGATTCAGAGACCAAAGACTTCACATTCCCACTTCTAGCCCTCACTGTCGCCTTCCTCAGGGGTCATTATCTTTGTGTGGCAGGGCATTCATTCAATTTGGACTTTTGCAGATGATGATAATTTACACAGTGGGTATTTACCATGCTATCAAAACAGATTAACTTTTGACATTCTAAGAAAACACTAGTCAATGCATGCACCAAACCAAACCACAATTTCCTTTTTTTTTTTTTTTTTTTTGAGACAGAGTCTTGCTCTGTCATCCAGGCTGGAGTGCAGTGGCACGATCTCAGCTAACCACAACCTCCGCCTCCCCGGCTCAAGCAATTCTCATGCCTCAGCCTCCCCAGTAGCTGGGACTACAGGCATGCTCTACCATGCCCAGCTAATTTTTGTATTTTTATTTTATTTTATTTTACTTTAAGTTCTGGGGTACATGTGCAAGATTTTTGTATTTTTAGTAGAGATGGGGTTTCACCATGTTGGCCAGGCTGGTCTTGAAATCCTGACCTCATGTGATCAGCCTGCCTCAGCTTCCCAGAGTGTGGGATTACAGGATTGAGCCACCGTGCCTGGCCTCTTTTCCTTTAATCTTTTTGTTCATCATTTTATATGCTTGGCTTTCTTTTTAC